AAATGTGCTTCAAAAAAACTTAAAATTTCAGATGATCCAACGACTTTGCCGAGATAAATTTTGTTGACATTTCGTATGCTTCAACGTAACGTCGCACACTGGACATATTATGATCGCTAGATAAATGACGACATTGAACGACCCTGTGTTCACTGTAACTTCCAGACTTACGTTGTTAAGTAGTTCATACGTAGCGGGGCTCATATTTCCACGATATTGTTTGGCAAATAGCATCAAAAGTTTCTGTAATTTACTTTTCTCGTACTTCGTGTCAGTTGTTAGCCCTGAGTTGCCTCTACGAGTGGGTGATATGACGTTCTCTCGTGGTTCATGAATGAATTTGGAATACCATCGTCTGGCATATTTGCCGAGGTGATTCTCCAATAATTTGGCTGCTTACTGTTGACGTAGTTCACTAATTCTTTAATTAAAAGCTTATCTCCGGTAACAAAATGAAATTTTTCCAGAGCGTTTCGGAAGATTCTGTACGCATGTTCAAGATCATTGTTTGTTCGGTCGCTTTCTGTTGGACCGAACGCGTTTTCTCGTGGGTGAAGGATCCGAAAAAGTCAGCACACCTTGTATCGAATTTTCTTCTTTATTCGCACAAACTGGTATAAAATTGAACTGATCGTCGGTTGAAGCTGGAGAATGAATGAATGCTCGAGTTCGAACTCGGGTCTCGCTCGTCACCTCGATTTTCGCTAAGTACAAGGAAGGGATGAAAATTTACCCTTGATTGGCGGAAAAAGTCATGGGTGGGTGGCTTGGTCAGACATTTGGGTGTCACGGATTGGTTAATAAGAATAAGGAGGTGGAATGATTAGGAAAGGTGGGAGAACTTACAGTTTTGGGTTTTCTCGCGACACTTGGGTTTTTCGGGTAGGTCAAGGTAGGGAGCAATAAAGGGGATGATTGGCAAGGTGGTCTAATGGGACACTCGAAATATTGGCTCCTTGGGTTTAGCCCAAATTTTATGGCCGGTGACTATTGGACCGGGTGGCCCGCAGGGGTTCGCGCAGTATTCTATAGCTATTGAAATAACTGTGCCATCATTACTTTTAAGTCCTGAACATGCCGCCCGCCTTGAAAGCTCGTGCTTTCAACGAATGTGTGTTACTTAGCGTCGTACATTGTAATGCCTGAATAGATGATTTCGAGTTGAGGATGTCATGGACCGCATTTGAATATTATAGTGGTCTTAATGGCTAATTTCCTTATGGTTTGGCGCATTATCGGTAGCACGGGGCTATTATAATCTACTCGATGGGTAAGATACAAATTCTTGACAATGATCGTTGTGTAATGCCTTGTTTAGTTTTAATACTAGCGACACGGATGAGCCCGTCCTTCCCTGGATGGGTTTCAATTACCCTCCCTAATCGCCATTGCATGGGTGGCAAGTTATCGTCCTTAAGAATTACCATCGTACCCGGTTTTAGATCCTGGGGTTGTAATTGGGTCCATTTAACGCGTTGCTGAAGTTGAGTTAAATATTCGCGGTTCCATCTTGACCAAAAATGTTGCCCTATTTGTGTGAGACGATTGGTTGGTTCGTCAGTGATATCGGGTTGTGGCAAAGATGTGAGTGCTTCACCTATTAAAAAATGTCCCGGTGTCAAAGGCACCAGATCATTGGGATCGTTTGAGATGGGAGACAGTGGTCGCGAATTTAAACATGCTTCAATTAGTACAAAGATGGTGTATAGCTCGTCATAGGTAAGCAATGACGGACCGACTATCTTCCGTAAATGAGTTTTAGCGGATTTTACGGCTGCTTCCCATAAACCTCCGAAATGAGGTGAATATGGTGGTATAAAGTCCCATTTTATTGAATATTGGGTCGAAACTTCATGCATTGTAGTTTGATGCTCTTCAGTCGACAATAAGTCATTCAGAGACCGTAATTCATTATTCGCGCCGACAAAATTCGTTCCATTGTCGGAGTACATGTCGGATGGTCGACCTCGGCGTGAGATAAACCTTTTGAATGCGTTTAGGAAAGCAACGGTAGACAAACTATTAACGAGTTCTAAATGAACAGCTTTAGTAGCTAGACAAATAAATAGGCATAAATACGCCTTATCTGATTTGTTTCGGGATATTTTTATGTTGAATGGCCCGGCATAATTTAAGAAAAGGGCGTGCAGGAGTTACGCGGGATTTGGGCAAATTTCCCATTAACTGATGGTTAATTATTGGACGTGCTCGGAAGCATACGATGCACTGTCGTAGAACGCGGCGTATAGCATTTTTAGCGGATAACGGCCAACACCGTTCTCTGATGCCGGTTAGTAATGCTTGTGTACCCGCGTGTAAATGCTTATAATGTTCGTCGCGTATGATGAGTTCGGTGAGTCGATGTTTTGTGGGTAAAACAATTGGATGTTTTTGCGAGTAATTTAAATTGGCATTATGTAATCGTCTACCTACGCGAATTATTTCGTCATGATCGAGGAAAATATTTAATGCGCGTAATCGACTGTTGCGTGTAATGCTCAGACGTGATTTAAGTGCGTGCAATTCCTGACCAAATTCCTACGATTGCATGAGTTTTATTAAGACCTTTAAAGATTTGTCAAGTTCAGCAACGGTTAAATGTCCCGAGGTAACGATGTTTCGATCCTTAACTATAGTCTTCCATCGCAGGCAGTAGGCAAGTACACGTTGAAGCCGATTAAGTGACGAAAATCTGTCGAATAGTTGGCACGATTGATTGACATGAGCGAATATTACATGTGGTTGTCTCAACTCTGGTATTACTTCAGAATGTTGCTGAGTTTGTTGCGGCCAATGCGATGAATCCCTGGAGAGCCACGTTGGTCCCGTCCACCAGAGTTCTGAATCTCTCAAATCGATTGGATCGCAACCACGTGAGATGATATCAGCTGGATTATCCTCTGAGATTACGTGATTCCAGTTGGATTGTTGACTGAGTTGCTGAATCTCGGTTACTCGATTGGCGACAAAGGTTTTCCATCGATGTGGTTCGCCCTTGATCCAGGCCAAGGTGATAGTTGAATCGGACCAACAGAAAACTTCCTTGAATGGTATAGTCAGTGCCTGACGTACCTGGTGGATTAATTTTGAAAGCAGCAGTGCGCCGCATAATGCGAGTCGTGGTAATGAAATTTTCTTTAATGGTGCAACTCGTGATTTGGCGCATAATAAATGAGTCGTGTGAGCACCCTCCTGAGTGGACGTCCGGATGTACAGGCATGCCCCGTACGCTAATTCCGATGCATCACAGAAGCCATGCAGTTCAGTTTGTACGGCATCCATCGTGCGTACCAATCGCGGTATCCTTATGTTGCCGAGATGAGGAAGTTGACCTTCGTAATGATTCCATGTCGTGTATATGTCCAGTGGTACCGATTCATCCCACTTGAGGTTCAGTTGCCACAAACGTTGTAGCATGATTTTTGCCTTAATGGTGGCTGGACCAACTAGACCTAGTGGGTCAAAGATCCGTGATATGGTGGATAGAATTGTTCTTTTTGTGATCCTTTGCGAAGATTGTGAACGGCATACAGCATATTCGAGTTGATCCTCTCGAGGTCGCCAACACAAGCCAAGCGTTTTTACGGATTCGCCGATCTCGTACGTCGCTTCGGAGGCTGAGGATTCGATTGCGGTGACGATTGAAGATGAATTGGACGTCCATTTACGTAGTTCATAACCTGCGGATTGTAGAATGGACGTGACCTCTAAATTGATGGCTTGCGTTTCTTCGAGAGTGTCAGCTCCGGTCAATAAGTCGTCGACATAGAAATCTCGAAGAATGATTTGACTTGCTATGGGAGATTCGGTTTTGTGATCCAGTGCTACTTGGTGTAAGCTTCGGATCGCTAGAAATGGTGACGAGGCCAGGCCATACGTAACTGTGTTCAGCCGAAACGTACTGATTGGTTCGTCGGAATTGAATCGCCATACGATGCATTGTAAATTTCTATGCTTGTCACTCACGTTGATTTGACGGTACATCTTGGCTACATCGGCGGTGATAACATAAGGATGCTGCTTGAATCGTAGTATAATTGAAAATAAATCCTGCTGAATGGTCGAGTCAGTCATGAGTATATCATTTAGTGAATGATTTGAGGTAGTTTTACAGGAGCCGTCGAATACGACGCGTAATTTGGTCGTACTACTGGATTCCTTCATGACCGCGTGATGCGGAAGGAAATGAATCGGTTTCTCAAGTTTGTTTTCCGTCACAAGGGACATGTGACTTAATGCTATATATTCCCGCATAAACTCGACGTATTGATTTTTCAACTCGACATCCCTGCGGAATTTTCGATCCATTGAGCCAGAGGCGGTTCACGGCCGCTGTTCGAGAATCTCCTAATTGCGCGAGATCACCGCGTATTGGCAACTCCACGGTAAATCTTCCATTCGCCTCGCGACGGTATGTACGGACGAAATGATTTTCACACGAGGATTCTTCGGGACTAAGTGAATTGGATATTAAGCACTCTTCCAGATTCCAAAACCTTTCGAGTTGTCGACTTAAGGTGACGTTATCGAAGTTGACTCCGCAGAATGGTCCGTCACGATTCCTTGATCCGCTCGGACTGACCTGACCTGAGGTTATCCATCCAAAATGCGTTTTTTGCATAACGGGTTGATTCTGGCCAGCTTGATTTGTCCGGCGCCAAGCAATTCCCAAAATGCGGTGGCGCCTAGTAGCAAATCTACCTTATCGGCTGTGTTGTAGGTTGGGTCTGCCAGGGTGAGATTTCGGGGAATGTTTAAACTGGATGTATCGATGTTTGTATACGGTAATTGATCGATGATTTTATCGACAACGAATGCGGATAACCGTATTTCATACGCGTTAAATTTGGATTTTATGGTTACATGCGTCTGTTCGAGAACTCTAGAAGTTGCCGCGTTGATTCCGGTGATTGGTAAATTAACGGGATCTGCATGAATCTGGAGCCGTTTCCAAAGTTCCTTGGTGATTAAATTTGATTGTGAACCAGAGTCGAGAAGAGCGCGGCATTCGTGTACCTTGCCGTACTTGTCCTTGATGAGAACTAGCGCGGTTGACAATAAAACGTGACATTCGCGTTTGTTTGAGGATTGCATCATCGTGGACGCAGAGCTATCTTCGCGTGAATTACTACTGAATGCGGATACGGTGCCGCTTGCATCAGCCAACGGCGGATTGTCCCTGCGCGAAGTGTTAGCCGCATTTGAATTTTCCATGTGTAGCAATGTGTTATGACGCTGATTGCATTTCTTACACCCGCCTAATGTGCAATCGCTATTTCCGTGATTTCTCAGACAATTGAGACATAGATTATGTTGTTTCGCAGTTTGAATACGAGAGTCTACTGGTAAATTACGGAACCCAGTGCATCCATATATTCGATGTGAATCCTTGCAGAGAGGACAAGTAATTGGCGAATTGTATGTACTATTGCCTGTGCAGGCTAAAGTGTGATTCGGTCCCTTAGGCGGGGGTCGTTTATGTGACTGAGTATGACTCGAAACCGATCGAAATTTGTCGTGATTTATTCCCTTCACGGTTTCGGTATCGACGATTGAACAACGATCTTCTAGAAATTCGATAAACTCCTGTACCTTTGACGCGTCCCGTTTTTTTGATTTCGACTCTCCATTCTCGTTTGGAAGTAGTGTCGAGTTTTGCTGGCATTAAATGAATTACGATCGTGTCCCAGGTATCAGCTCCTAAGGTTTTTAATGCGCGCACGTGTCTTTGCGTCGCGTCGAAAAACTATCGAAGCACGGTTCCCGATTCTCTCTGCATGGGTGCCAAATCGAGTAACGCCTGTACATGATGGTTAATAATGAGTCGTTTATTTTCGAATCGCTTCTTTAACAGATCCCAGGCGATTTGATAATTCTCCGCGGATGATTCTAACGAGTGTATCACCTCGGCGGCGATACCTGTTAATGACGACCTAAGATAATGTAATTTTTGAATGCTTGACAATTTATCATTGCTGTCGATCATCGCCTGGAAACTGTCATGATAATTTAGCCACTGATCATAACTACCATCGAACGTAGGGAGATTCATGGTTGGTAATTTAATGTTCAATTTCGCATTGTTCGTACTGGATCCTTCGTTCGAAGAATTGGGACTGTTCGCTGAATTGAGATTGTTTCCTGTGATGTTACTGATTCTACGAATTAAGGCCTTCGCTTTCTGTTGGACCGAACGCGTTGTCTCGTGGGTGAAGGATCCGGAAAAGTCAGCACACCTTGTATCGAATTTTCTTCTTTATTCGCACACACTGGTATAAAATTGAACTGATCGTCGGTTGAAGCTGGAGAATGAATGAATGCTCGAGTTCGAACTCGGGTCTCGCTCGTCACCTCGATTTTCGCTAAGTACAAGGAAGGGGTGAAAATTTACCCTTGATTGGCGGAAAAAGTCATGGGTGGGTGGCTTGGTCAGACATTTGGGTGTCACGGATTGGTTAATAAGAATAAGGAGGTGGAATGATTAGGAAAGGTGGGAGAACTTACAGTTTTGGGATTTCCCGCGACACTTGGGTTTTTCGGGTAGGTCAAGGTAGGGAGCAATAAAGGGGATGATTAGCCAGGTGGTCTAACGGGACACTCGAAATATTGGCTCCTTGGGTTTAGCCCAAATTTCATGGCCGGTGACTGTTGGACCGGGTGGCCCGCATGGGTTCGCGAAGTATTCTATGGCTATTGAAATAACTGTGCCATCATTACTTTTAAGTCCTGAACAGAAGAATTTGCATTTTCGCAAATTTTCCAATTTTTCCACGAATGTGCGAACCATGCGAGAGACTAGTTGGTCGTTTCCGACAGATCTGGTTCGATCTAGTTCAAGGAAAAATAATTTTTGGGGCGCAAAGGTACTGGTAGATGTGATCCAGTCGAAAGCATTTCGGGTCCGAGCGCTTCGATAATCAGCTGTTTGAGCATTTGATTCAGGCTCGGACCGGGCCGGCTCCCCCCGCGCCCCCACGCGCCCCGCGTAAGCAAAGATAAAAGGACATTGTACCGCTCGGACTCTAAATGCTTCCAGATGGATCACATCGAATCGCATTTCTGCGCCCCAAAAATTAATTTTCCGTCAACTGGATCGAGCCGGATCTGCTGGAAACGACCAATCCGCCCCTCGCATAGTTTGCACATCTGTGTAAATCGAAAATTTGCAAAATGCAATTTTTTCGAATTTTTGTTCTCGGCTGCAAAAAATGGAGAAAAAATCGAGGTTTCGAGGAAACCCGTTCCCATCTTCGTCAGCCATCGGGTTCCATCGAATGTAGGGCATTTGCACCTACGTTCGCAGGGCGTCGGAAGGATTCGGACGCCTCCGGTGCGACGAGTCCGCCTCGCGCCGGGCCGGCTCCCCCCGGGCCACGCGTAAACAAAGATAACCGAGCATTGTGCCGCTCGGACTCTAAATGCTTCCAGGTGGATCCCATCGAATTGTATTTTTGCGCCCCAAATATTAATTATCCGTCAACTGGATCGAGCCGGATCAGCTGGAAACGACCAACCGGCCCCTCGCATGGTTCTTAAATCCGTGTATTTTTGCGTGCATTTTTGCAAATTTTCGATTTTGCGTTCTCGGCTCCTAAAAACAGAGACAAAATCGAGGTTTCGAGGAAACCCCCTCCCATGTTCGTCAGCCATCGGGTTCCATCGAATGTAGGGCATTTGCACATACGTTCGCGGGGCGTCGGAAGGATTCGGACGCCTCCGGTGCGACGAGTCCGTCTCGCGCCGGGCCGGCTCCCCCCGCGCCCCGCGTAAACAAAGATAAACGAGCATTGTGCCGCTTCGTCTATGGAGCCGCCACGGATAGTACCGATCTGTCACTGTAAGATGGCTCCACACGTACGTGGGATTCCATCTTACCGACAAATTGGGCCCCAAGGTAGCACTTTCTCTGCGGCGCCATCTGGCACAATTATCGGCAACTAATTTTTTACCCTAAGAGCAATTACAGAGCACGTGTTATCCACGAAACAAGCGTGCGTTCTTCAGAAATCATTTATAAAAGTATTCACAATATTTTCCCACCTGACTCTGTAAAATTATACGACTATGTTGTTTTAAATTGTCCAGGCTCGGTCCTGAAACTCTTCATTTTTTATTCTAGGCCTTCAAAAGGTGTGAAAATATCGAAAATATGCCACGTTGGTTCTAGTGTATGATAAGTTAATAAATTTTTGTATGAAAAATGAAATTTCGCGAGATTCAGGACCATCATTAGGGTCTCCATATTCATGTACTAAAATTTGAAACGATTCGGTTCACCCAGTTCGTAGAAAACATTCATAAACGATTTGACCCCTCAGAGACGCCTTTCACATCCCCTTAAAAAAGTATTATTTATTTTGCACTAAATGCATTTTTTTTAGAAACAATTTACCATGTTACGTAGACACCCTCCGTACCCTAACGTAGGGAAAAATCCATTTTCCGATCACCGGAGTTAGCCATGGAAATTCGAATACGGTAACGCAATTAGGAAACTCTTGCGAAAGGATCCAACAAGTTCATCGGCCAAACGGCTCCAAAAGTCATCGATCGACCCGGCGGGGCAAACAACCTGACGACAACGCAACGCATCAGCACGACTCAGAAACATCACCCTCACCTGGTCCCCTAGGAAACCCCCACCAATTGGAACACCTTGCTAATAAAACCAGCAGTCAGATCGAGACGGATGTCATGGCCATGTCATTGTCATTGTCATTAGTATCACCGAACTTCGAGTGGAGCTCCTGGTCCCCGGTACTCTGTTCCTAGCGAGTCCGAGACCGAGACCGCCAGACTCCCTGTCGAGGACCACTATCCTGCGAGCTGTAGTAGTGCCACCCGGTACTCCAGCGATCCAACCATCGTGTCAGGGCCAGACGGCGGCACTGCGACTTCCGTTGGACGGGAGGCTTCTAGGAGACCTCCAACCCTAGGGCACGTCACGGGACGAAGGTGTTCACGCACAGTCATCCGGCTGGGTCTATCATAGGAGACTGTCACCGAATACAGCCGCTGATCAAGCCAGGTAGAGGATCCTTCGCAAGCTCGACTCATCCTCATTTTCATTCTAGTCTATTTATTAACCCTTCATCTTCGATCAAAACCGAATTCTAACCATTATTGCGATTTCCCTGCCTTGCTCCGGTTAACCGGATAGATTAAGAACCCATTAACTTCCTCCAAACAGCTGAGCTCGAAATCTCAGTATCGCGAGACAGAATCACGCGTAGACCGCCATTAAAACAGCGAAGAATTCCCGCATCAGCACTCCGGCGGCCAGTAACCTACCGCCGCTTAAGCGCGCT